CCTCTCTCCCTCCCCCTCTCTCTCCCTCCCTCCCTCTCTCCCTCTCTCTCTCTGTCTCTCTCTGTGCTTCCTGGCTGCCAGCCAGGAGATGAGTTACCTTCTTGGAATGTCTTCATTTTGTATTTGTATGAGTTCATATTTGCAGTGCACAGTGATTACGTTCACCATGGGAGATGTGTACATACACATGGCGCATTTTAATTCTCTTTCTCCCTTCCGCTCTCCTCCCTCCAGCCATTCTTCCTCCTCCCCACATTAACCAAAGCTCAATTTTCATATTTTTATTTCCCTTCCTTTTCTCTCCTATCCCCCATCTCTTCTTCCCTTTCCAATTTAAACAAGCTCTCCGCATTTCCTAGGACCTCTGCCCCATTCTTCTCCTTACTTATACTTTGAATTTCTTACACAAGTGAAGTAATGTAATATTTAAACTTGTGTGCCTCATTTATTTCACTTAAGATTTATAGTCTAGATTTACAGCCACCTAAAAATACCTAAAGTTCATTCTATTTTATGGCAGAGTAGTACTCTGTTGTGCATAAATACCATGTTTTCTTTCACTGTTCACCTGTTGGTGGACATGTAGGCTGGTTCCAAGATTCAGCTATTATGAACTGTACTACAGTAACCATGGCTGTGCACCTACCACTGTCCTAGGATGTCTTTATAGCTTTGGGGAGATATCTAGAAGGGAATAGCTGAGTCAAATGGAACCTCTAGTTTTAGTTTTTAAGGAAACTCCATGCTTTCCTGTACCACATACTTCTCATCTATGTTCAGTCACACCACAGGTCCAAAAGCCATGTTTCCATTTGATCGTTAAATAAACCTTTCCTCCTTTAAATTGGCTTTCTCGGGTATTTTATCACAGTGACACCAAACTGATTAAAACAGTTGGTACTGATAAATGTGAAAGGCAATCTGATTTCTGGTTTCTTTTTATAATTTATCTTTAACAAAATGATCAACATGAATATTACTATGGTGTGCTCGACAGTTGGAGAAACTGCATCTTGTCAACAGGGAGAGGCGAGAGATCTGCAGGAGCAGATTCAGGCAATTATGTGTTTGCTTTATATTTAATTCGAGTGCCACATTTTAGCAATAATCATACATGTGTACTATGTTCTGTTATTTACTGTGTAGACTATTTAAAATAATATCATTATCAATAAATAATAACATTACAAAAAAGACAAAAATTAACTTGGATTGAAATTGTTGAGTTTTCTAATATATCACTTTTTAAACCAAATCGTATTATTTTCTTATATATTTTTCAGTATTTGCTAATATCAAAGAATAAGTTCATCCTCTCCTCTGTGTGTGTGTGTGTGTGTGTGTGTGTGTGTGTGTGGTTAAACTAAATATAAACCTTATATGTTTTGTGCATTTCAACATATTTTGCAGACAATAATAGGGAATTCTAAGTCATGAGTATTTCATACAGTTAGCTGATAATAAATGTATGATATTTATTTTGCTTTTTCAAACCTTCATTTCCTCAGTTGACCCCCACTTTCTCAGATTATTTTTTTTTAAACTGGGGATCGAACTTGGGACCTTGCACTTGTGAGGCAGGCGGCAGCACACTGACCTGCATCCCCAGCCCGACCCTCCACTTTCACATGACATATTTACCAGGCAAATATCAACACTGTCTTTGTGTGATGTTAACAATAAGACTCTTAAACATTTTGTTTTTTGCAAGCAGTGGAAGTCAAATTCTACTAAAAATATACCTGTGTTAAATAACGTGCTACTGTTATATAGAATCTTATTCCGTTTAAAACATAAATTAATTTTTTTATTTAAAAGATAAATTAAATTAGCGGATTTTGTTTTTGTTTTTGTTTTGTGTTTTTTTCCTTGAACTACTACCTTTCAAGTTGATGGGATAATTCCAGAAACAGCATTGGCCTCTTGATATATGATAATTAAGGATTTATGTTGTTTCTCTTGTTTTTAGCGTGCAGTGACCTGGAATTCAGGGAAGTGGCAAACAGATTACGGGACTGGTTCAAGGCCCTTCATGAAAGTGGAAGCCAAAACAAGAAGATAAAACCATTACTGAGGCCTGAAAGAAGCAGTAAGAAGTCTAAATTGATTTTTTTTTTTTTTGAGATGAGGATTTCTATCTTAGGAATTGCTTAGAATGAAACACAGTTTCAATGTTTATCCTTTTATGTCGCTGTTGAACAAAAATCAGAACATTGCTCTCCCAAGCACTGCAGTGGTATTTTGTAAGGAGATGAAGTGTCAGGGAAAACTCTGATTGAGGGAAAAAGACTTGTTTCACCAGATAGCATTTATATTCTACTTAAAAACTCAGCCAATATTTTTCAGTATTTTATCAAACCAGTAGAGAATGCTTTGGATGGCAGTGCTCAGAGTGACATAGGAATAAGGGTAAAATTTTGGGGATACCCATAGTTTTGACGAATGCACTAGTCTTCCTTGAGTGTTAACACGTGTCAAGACTGAATTTTCAGACATCTTTAATTTAGCTCAGATTGTCACGGATCTGTGGACAATAAAAAAATATCTGCAAATGAAAGAAGTGAGGCCCTGAAGATAATCAAAGAGCCTTAAATTCTTACAGTATTCTTCTATAATTTATACAATTGTGTCATTTTTAAATTCTTTATAAATATAAATTGTAAATTAAAGTAAGTTACTTAATATGAGTAATTTCATTTTATATTCTTTTCATATGTATAAAATTTGTGTTGTATTTAATTGATAGAAAAACAATATTGAAATATGGATTTAATCTTTTAAAGATGAAATTTTTTCTCTAAAAAAGGCAAAAGAAAGTGAAATGGCAGCAGTTATAGAAAATGCCATGTCTCCTTGACAGAGAAGCACCAGGGTGTGGCCTCCATTGCTTGTAAGAGTGGCATGACCATCCATTCTCACTTGCCACCCTCAAAATGCAATGTCTAACAAAATTAAAAACAAGACACAACCATCTACAACCTATACTCCTATAATTCTCTCATTTTTTCCAATTAAAGAATTTTCTCTAACCCTATTTGCAATTATGAATCTCACATATATTTCAATTTAATATAGCAGTGCAGTTAAACTATTACTTTTAGTTATAAGGCTGGTCTCTGATTGTGTGATGAGCACTCTGTGTGTCTGTGTATTTGAATGTGGGGTGACTATTATTCATGGGAAAATTCTCATGAATTTTGGAATGAAATTACAGTACATTTCTAATCTCTTAGAAGTATTTCTTGTATCTGTCTTTGAATATATGGATTCAATTTTTGGTAGCTGTTATTGTTTATGCCTTTCAGCTTTTACTCATTTCAGAGAAATAATAATAATTAAGTGTATTTTTCTCCTGGTTCTGAAGAAAATCTGGACATGATAAGGGATTTCTTCCAGAAGCTTGTATATTGATTTTTTTTTAATTAGAACTTTTATATCCACCCTTGGTTTTCCAATAATCATTCTTAAAAATAGCATGCTTTCAAATTTCTCCTTTCGTCTTGACTTCAAAGTAATTTCTCAAATAAATTTAGAAATGGATTAAACAAGAACTGGTTAAGCATTCAACAAGGTGCCTGATTGATTTTACACATTCATAGTATTATTTCCTTTTCTAGCCTTTTGTTTCAAGAAATGCCATGATACTGTCTTATAATAGTGGATCGACTCTAAGAAGCTCATTTGGAGTGGCTTATCTGCTTTGCATAGGAAAATGTGGGTTTTAGGGTTGTCAGTGGCTAACCAGGCGTAGATGTTTGGAGAAGGTTATCCTCTAGGATGAATGGAACAATTTCAGACAAGAAATGGTTGGCTCGCTCAGGCCAGGACGCTCTCAGGGTGAATCTTTTGCTAACTCCATTGTATTTACCTTGTTTATCCGCTCTGCAACATTGTACTACCCATCTACTTGTTGTTTTCATTTTCCCTTTATAGTATGTATCACTGTATAGCACAGTATTTATTTTATTCTTTTCCTGCTAGATCACTGTAACCTCAATGAAAATAGAACTTTTACTCATCAACGTATTGTTAGAGCCCAGTGTTGAGTTTAGCATATAGTATTCATATAACAGAAATGAATAGAATTAAGCAATGAGTGAAGCAAATAACCTATCCATGTACTATACGGTGTGGCTATCCTGTAATTAAATCAGTCAGTCCTTAGGAGTGAGATTATCTACTCTTCCCATTATTTTATCCATGAAAATGAATGCTACAATCTGTGTGCATTTGTTTCTGTGGAAAAGATTCCAAACAGTAGAAACAATGGGACAAAATACAAATGCATTTTAAATTTTAAATGATAATACCTGTTGCCAGACTGCTTTGTAAATAGGCTTAGGGTGTTTCAAATTTCTGCCACCAGTCTGTGGAGTTGAGTGCTTCCTCACTAGCCAAACTATTACTTTTTAACGCTTCCATTCTTCTATATTATTATATTTCACTTTACATTTAATATGTATTTCCTTTATGTGTGGTAAATACCAACCGAACATTAGGTGAAAACCTTTGTTATTATGAAAAAAAGCACTTTGTAAACTGTATCTACTAATCTCTTAATTATGAAAAATACATTTTGATGGCTTCTATTTTAATTGGATTCATTCAGATCCTTCTAGCATTTTTGGCAGTTTTTGCTTTATGTGTTAATTATTCTTTTTATACAACATATGTATTTATTTCTGTGCTGCTAGTAAGTATACTTCATGTCATTTTCTTTCATTTATTTTTATGCTCCATGCTACTGAAAGCTTTCTAGTTTACTCTATTTGATAGTAGTATTGCACTTCTACATTCCACTTTATCACACTTTCCTGGTATCCTTGCTACTATTTATTGTTCATTTTTCCTTATTATATTTAATTATCTCATATCAACACTCAGAGTTGAATTTTGATTGATATTTTTATATGACATTGAACAGAATCTGGGCATTATTTTTGAATTATTAAAGATATGACGAATTCAACATAAAGTACAAGAAAATACTCTATTTTAAAATGTTTACCTTTTAGGCATACTACCCAAAAGTCTTTGAAACTTGCTGTCATAATTTCTTCTCTCATTGCTGACACAAAATACTTGATGGCCAAAGTTAAGAATGGAAAAATTAATAAAGCAGGGTGGCATGGCCGAGAGGCCTATCAGAGGAGCGACGTTTTGTGATGGGCAGAAGCAAAGCAAGCAAGGAACTTTAGTAGCCTCTTTCTGCCCCTTTTATATTCTATCTAGGCTACCAGAGTTAGGGCTGTGACCAAACCAGCTAGTGGACTGATTTGATAATTACACATCCTTGATCCCAACAACTGTAATCCTAGCATGAATCAATCACACACTCTAGATCCAGCCCCACCCATGACCACTTGAGGTTTTAAGGGGACATCTAGACACAAGCCATAATGCTTGATTTCCAATAGCTTAAGAGCAGATAGAAAATGAAATTAAATTGTATTTCATCAAAGATAAAAATCAAATTTTAATTGTATACCAGGACAATACTTGATACTATTTTTTAAAAATCATGTATAAACCTTCTCAATATTAGCCAGTGTTAATGAAGACAAAATGTTTTTGGTGAATCATTTATAACTTCTAAAATTTATTTAGGATTCATCTTGTGTGATTTGCAACAATGAAGCACATTAAGACAAAATCATTTTAACAAAGAAATATCTTAATATATTTTGCATTTCGTATACAAACCTGGTTTTCTTGGAAGAGTTATATTTATAATTTTTAATTGCAGTAATTTTTATTTTATAGAGAAAACTGTGAGGTGGGTAATTATAAAGTGTTGTGCTTCAGCATTTTGCAGTAGATTTCCAGAGTTTATGAATATACATTTTATGCTTTTTATAGCCATATGCTTCTTTACAGTATATCTTTTTAATGTTGCATAAATGAACACCTTTAAAAGATTCAAATATGTAAGCTTCTCTAAAGCCATAAAAATGAGAGGCAAAAGTACATAAATTTTAGTGTCTTTTACTTTTTGAATGTTATATGTACTAAATTAAATATGAATTAAGGAATACCTACTAATTAAGTTAATCAAGCAAAAGTATAAGATTTGACGTTACCCTAAAGTCTTTGAAAAATTTTATGTCAGTTGATCTAAAAACATAATTACTGCTAAAATAAAGTTCATCACCTGAATAATTTACTCTAGGTTCAAACAAATTTGTTTTTTAATTGTAAATATCTTGTACATGTAATACTGCTAATAGTAGTACACGTAATACAACTAATTTGATCAAGAAAATAATGTGTGCTGTTATAAACTGAATACCGAAAACTATAATGCCATAGCTGTTCATGAAACACAATAAATTACTCTTTCATCAAACTTCTTTTCTTTTACTAGATTAAAACCAGAACCTTCACACTGAGCTATATCTCCATGTGCACTTTATTTTATTTCATTTCATTTCATTTTAAAAGTGTCTAAGCTGGATTCCAGTTTGTAGTCATCCTGCTTCAACTTCCCAGAGTGCCAGAATTACGGGCATATGCCACTATGCTGGGCTCCAAATATTATTTAAATTATGCAAATTGAACTTTTCAATTAATTTTATTGGTACATTTAGGATATACAATATAGTGACATTCATTGTTGGAAATTTGCACCTTTACATAATCCATCTTGATTCTTATTTTTTCCCTATTTTCCTGCCCTACCTTCAACCCCTCCAACCCTCCCTATCTACAAAGACTTTGTTTCAATTTTTTTTTCATTTTCTTATATTCATTCCTTTCCCTTCCCCTTCTCTTTCCATTTCCCCTTCCCCTTTGCACTTTTTCTTCCCATTTTGCCTTATCTATTATACCTTTAGTCCTTATTTACACTTTCAGTTTCGCACACTAGAGATGTGTGTATTTACAGAGTGTGTGTCCTATTTATTTCCCTTAAGAGTATTGCCTAATTCATAGAAAAAATATTAGTATTTCTAATTTCTGGAAAGTTTAGAAAGTTTCAGTTCACATAAGCAGTTGTTTATCTCTGAGCTGAACACAGGAGCGGTTTTCTGAAGCAATTTTGTAATCTCCCTTGCAGTACTCTCTGGAGTTAGGAATGTAACAAAGTTAAAT